AAAAAACTAAAATATTCAAATACTGTTGTTATATGAGTATTTATTTTCTAGGCCATTGAGATTTAGGCATAAATATTTATTAGCTACATTCACAGTGACAAAATCAAGTACTCATGCAAATGCCTTACCTGTAAATTCAGGAGGACATAAAAACTGAGTCCAAAAGCCAAAAAAAGGAAGACAAATACGACTGTAGATCTCAACAAAGTTCTCATAATTACCTCCAACATAACAATGAAAATTCCACAATTTTCAAATCTAGGAAGATTTAAAAAACCTAATTACTCACTTTTGTAGTCAAACTGACAATATTTATCATGTATCCAACAAGGTACTAGATTTCACAGAAGAGATCATTGAGGCTAATTATTTTTAAATTCATAAAGAATCAAGTCTTATTTTCAAGCTATTCATCAAATTGCTTTTATTCTCCCTTTTGTTCACATCTATTTTTAATCATTTTATCGCTTGACCATTGGACATTACTTCACCCAAAACAGGAAAGAAAGGGTGTAGCTGCCCAGTACCAAAGAAAATGCTACCAAGTGCTTAGAGCATCAAGAAGAGATTGATAAACCAGCTCGTGCTCCTGAAGGCGCCTCTTGTAGGGCACAGGGCACATGATTTACGTTCACCCATCCTCTGGACCTCCTTTGATTTCCTGTTCGCCCCGTCAGCATTCTACATTATGAAATGTTTGGCTGAACAATAGGTGTGTCATCTAGCCACGTTTGTATTTTTCCTTTGGCAATGACAACTAGTTTACAGAAGGAATAATAAGATGCTAAAGCTGAAAGGGACTTTGGCTAAGTACACAGTAACTTGCCAAGGTCACTGATAATGAACCTGCTTTGATCCTCCAGACTTCTGGGTCCTTGCCTTTCCCATAAAGCAGGTCCTCTCTAAGAGGTCAGGCTCATCCTGTATTACTGGGCTTATGCCACAGCAATGCAGATGATACAGTAGGAAAAGCTTGATCCCTGCAGTCAGAAAGACTTTGGTTAAATACCTGTGTCTTGACTGACAAGCTAAAATCTTGGGAAAGTTACTTAACTCAATTCTTTGGCTTCTTTGCAACTAATAACATTTGCCTCTTGTTATTATAAAGATTTATGTGAAATAAAATTTAAAACAACATTAGCAATTGTCAGAGGAACTCAGCCCTTTTTCCCTATCTAAAATTAGATTCTTTGGACTTATTTTTTCTAACACTTTTATTTCCCATATTACCTATGAGTTCATTTTGAGTGTTTTAACACAAAGTAGATGCTTACAAAATAATATCAGGTAAAACAAGAATAGCCAACACTTTCATTCCAGATTAAATCTTGACCTGGGTTCATTTAGCACCCAGGGAACATCTGGCAACGTCTGGATACGTTTTTGGTTGTTACAACTGAGGTGGTGTGTACGTATCTAGTGGGTAAAAACCAGGAATGCTGCTAAAGATTTCGCAGTACACAAGAAAGTCCCCCTACATCATAAAAATAATTATATGGCCCCAAAGTTCAATAGTTGCCAAAGTTGAGAAAACCTGGTCTACTCTCTGAACTCAAGAACAACCCCACACCTTTCTTTAATAAGATATAAAAAATCCTCACATTTTAAAGCAATTAGAAAAGGAATAAGCCAGCTATGAATGTATGCCGCTTATAATAGGTTTTCTCATGATATTAAAATAATTCAGGCTGGTTTTAGGGGAGGGAGAGGAAGTGTGGAGGGAGGGTAATTGGAGGGAGCACACCTGTGGTGCATTTTACAAGGGTACATGTCAAATCTACTAAGTGTAGAGTATAAACGCCTAAACACAATAATTAACAAGGTGCAGTGAAGACTATGTTATTTGATGAAAGCATTGCAAATTGTATATAGAACCAGCACATTGTACCTCATAAATGCACTAATGTACACAGCTCTGATTTAATTAAAAATAATAATAATTCTGGCTGGTTTTACCTTTGCAGATACAACAAGAAATTCATCCAGTAAAAGTATATGGCGATTGCTCCACATTGCCACTGCACGTGAGCTGGTATATCAATGAACAAGGGCAGCACAAAAATGATGCTTGTTGTGTAGATAATCCATTCAATGATATTATTAAAATCCGATAAGTAATTCCTTTTCTGGGATTAAAAAGTGAAAAATTACCATATATAAGAGACCCGAACATCATATGGTTGATGATATAAATAACCTGTAACAAAATTATTCCGCAACTACAGCCATCAGAAGTGAGAGCTAGGACCAAGGAGTCACCTCCTACCATCTTGGATTGACTCCAGAGCCCTGGGGTACATATCAGTGCTGGAGATGGCCCAGGGTCATCTATTAATCTGGTGCTATGGGAGTCTGATGCCTAACGAAATCCTGTAAATTGCTGGGATCTCCAGATAGAGTCTACTCCATCTGAAGGAAACTTCTGGAGGACTACAAATTGGTTTAATAATTCCCGGGAGCTTTCTGGCTATATAAGGACATATATATTGAACTCTCAAGCCAGAGACATGAACTAAAGCTGCTTCTAGGAAGTCTATATCTGAGAGTGTATCATGAGACTTGATTAGGAAAGTCTCACACATGTCTCTGAGACTTAGGAAATGAGAACAAATCACAATGGCATTCTTAAAGATTTCATGTTTTGGATGTTTAATTTCCCATAGACTCGACCATGTAAATATCAATAAGCAAATGTGGAGATCAAATATGACACAGAATTCATACAACTTTTTACATAAATTTAAATTATAATCTGTTATTTATTTATTTATTATTATTATTTTTGCAATTTTTTTTTTTTTTTTGGCCAGAGCCAGGTCTGAACCCACCACCTCCAGTATATGGGGCTAGTGCCCTACTCCTTTGAGCCACAGGCACTGCCCCATCTATGATTTTTCTTAACAGCAAGAGAGACTAAGTAATATGCCCCAAATCATTTAAGGTAAAATAGAACATATAGTCTAATTCTCAGAATTGCAACAATTTGCTTATTTAAAATAAATAAATAAATACTTGCAACATACAATTTTAAATAAATGCAAAGCATTATTACTATCATCAAATTATTTAATTAAAATATCCATGTGCTTACGTGATACAGCATGAAAAATTTTCATAGAAAATGAGGTGCTGTGTGTCTATAACTTATAAAAATAACATTTACAAAAGCATACAAAAACAGAAGTAATAAAGAACATCAAATATCCACACTGAGAAATGAAGGATCTATGTCATTTATCAACAAAGAAGGTAATTTACATAATTCTGGACTTGGCTCACTCATTTAAAAAAAATTGAATATAAAGGAAAAAATATGCTATAAAAACTTCTCAAGTTTTATTACAACTTGGAATTTTATTTAATAAAGTAAAGCATTCCTGTTAGAAAAGGAATTCAAAGAAAGATCCATTGGAAATGGAGTCTCATGCCGGATACATTTTTCATAAACATTTACATTTATAATTATCACATTTAAATTCTATCATGTTACAAAAATATTAAACATGATATAAGATAAAACACAGAAAAGTCACTCACCATGATCATTTGTTACCACAGAGATCCATATGGATCAGTAAAGTGGAGCACTTCTTTTACAGATGTACCAAACAGACAGTGACCCTACCAAAAATCAAGTTATTTCTACATTCTGAAAAGTTTATCCTGGGTACTTCCAATCTATACATTAGCCAAGCTATGTGATTGTATTGTGGCATAATGTTAATTCAAATAATAGCTTATCAGTTAATATATGTTAAGATACCAATTTTTAACATAAGAAGTCTTTAAAAAATATAAAATAAAATGTCAAATAATGGTGTATTAGTTAACTTATGTTAAATATGTACAACTTAGAGATACAAAAGGATTACATACCTGTTGAAAAATTTGGACCACTTCTTTGCAGTACCCAAATAAACTTGATAAAAAAACTAAAATCATACACACTTTTATTGGATATGAATGCTAAAGCAAAAGAAGCATAAAACAAGCAGTTATTAGGGATATAAAATAAAACACTTTAACTTCCTCATAATTTCCACTATTAAATATTCTTTGCTTCATCTCTATGTGCTGTCCACATACGAGTTAAATAGAAAATTACTGTGATGTCAGTACTCATCAAGCTTATTTCAGAATGTCCTTAGTAAGAGAGGTTCAAAAATTATAGATAGGTCTACAGATTCATGTTCCTTTAGAATCTGCAGGAACATGAATCTGGAGACCTATCTACAAAGTTTGAATTATAGTTAAAATATACATCACATATAATTTTCCATTTTAAAAGCTTTACATTTTACGTGTACACTTATACTCTAAAATGTATAACTCAGTGGCATTAAATACAATGTTATGCAGCCATCACCACGATCTAGTTCTACAAAGTTTTCCACATTCCAAATGGAATTCCCATGCCCAACCCATGCAGCCCTTGGCAACCTCATATCTGCTCCCCTATAGATCTATTTTAAAGTTTAATATTTTGGCCTTCACATGAGTAGCTCATGCTGTCAACACCTTTCGAATTAGTTTATACACTCATGTATTGACCTATTTATTTTTACTTCCTCCCATTCCACAAAGGATTTTAGGAGAAATGGCACCATACATGAATTCTGTATGCTATTTATAATAATCAAAGTCCTGATAGTTCAGATTTTTTATGGGCTTAGGGTCCTTCAAAAGAAATATTTTTAAAATAATCTCTTTTACAAAGTTAAAGTTTGAACATACCGTGCTGTCTAATATTTCTGAATAATTGCTAGTTTCATTGATGATTGCAGTTGAGTTGAAAGCCATTCCCGGCTTTATACTGACAACAAGAAGAGTCATAGGTATGAGGCCAAGACAGTAAGATCCTAGGTTCATCATATGGGCTCTAAATCCATAAGCCATCCTACAAAAATTTAAGCAAACCATAATTGAGTCATTTCAAACAAAAATTGGCATCAGACAGCTGGTCTTTCCCTGTCCTCACCCACGAGTTTCTACATGAGCCCTGTATGTGTGGCATGCCCCACCACCCACTGGAGTGTGTTGTGAAGAGCCCTATGTCCTGGGAAACAGGACATGGCTAGAAAGGGGGCCACCCCCTCACCCCTCACACTAGCACACTCTGTGGGAACCCGCTATTCAACCATTCATAGAGAATCTGCTTCTGGATTGGGGTTCTGTGACTAGCAGAGAAGCTCTCTTGCTGGTATCTACTGAAAGTCAGCTCTCAACTCAAGGGTTTGTAAAAATAAAGAAATTTTTAATGCATAAACAAACAAAAAGAAAACAAAACTATAAACAAAAAAATGTACTTAAGATACCTATAGAAAAAGTAGTTATAATCTCTTTTGGGAGTCTCTTCGATAAATTCACTGAACTATAGAACCAAAAAGATCTTCTAATTAACCTTCTTTCATTTTCAGAGAAGGAATCTCAACTTCTGAGCAAATCATGACTTACCAATTAACAGAAGAACAGAGAATTTATGCCCATATGATTTGGTTCAAGGTGAGGGTTCTTCCCTACCTCTCACTTCATTGCCACTAAATTGTAGGGTCCAGGATGCTTCTTCAAGTCTTATATAATGATTCCCTCTCACTTCCAAATATTTCATTTAATGTCAAAGATAAACATCCTCATCATTTTTAATACCAAAACTTGTCTTTGACATTTGTTTTTTCCGAAGTATAACACGTTAAACATAACAAAATTGTAATCTTTCAAGTACAATTAAAATGTAATTGATTAAAAGACTTTTAATAGATTTAATGGCAACAGAATTAAAAAAGAAACACTACGTGATACATACCATTTCATAAGTAAGTATTCCTTACACACAGGGTGATTGAGAAGCTCTATGCGGTTATGTTGTACCATTGCCTGAAAAATAAAGAAAAGGCAATAAATTACAATCATATCAAACTACCAGGCATAAGCTAAGGTTTCTATTGTCTGCTTTCATAACCAATTTTGATACTGTAAAAGCAAGACTTGCTTATTTTAGAAAATTAAGAATGATCTCAAGATTTTAAAAAATAGAAACATGAGTTAGAGAGCAATATTTTATACAGGGAAAAGATCTGATTCAGTTTGTTACTTTTCATCTCTGATTGGTTGGGATAGTATAAGTTTCTAAATCTTACACAGGGATACACAAGGATAGGACATTAAAGGCAAATTACCAAGAATGACATCCTCATTCTGTCCTTAGAGAAATTTAGGCTTATCTTTCTAGAACAATTTTAAATGGTAGAATACACATAAATGGTATTTAAGTTAATCTATAGAATTATAGATTTTCATAAGAGTTATTAGGAATTCCTAGTATCTATCTAAAAAATAACTTTTAATTATTCAAGAAATAATTAAATAGAGGGATGGATGTCAGCGAGATGGCTGAATAGGAAGCTCCAAACCCTTCTTCCTCCACAGAGGCACCAAATTAACAATAGCACACAGACCAATTTCTTTTGTGACCAATGCAGAACCCAATTAAAAGGTTCTTGCACCTGAGATGAGCATATAGTCAAAAAGTACCAAACCAAAGACAGTGGGGAAATTCATGAAATTTACTCATCACAGCCCCTCCCTCTGGCATAGGAGATAAATCACATCTTTCTTGCCTGGAAAATTCACAGCCATTTATCTCTTTGATTTTCTCCCTATCACTTTCTCTTTTTTAAAAAATGCCATCTTTCTGGGGCAACTTTTAGATACAAGTTGGAATTTCTAGTTTTAGCCTCTTTATATTAACTTTGATTTTTTTTCTTTTTGTCTAAACTTTCCAAAATATTCTACCAAGTAAATTCTAGGTTTCGGACTGAATATTCACCTATGATTAGAAAAATCATTTACTATGATTCTCAGTCAGTACTATCTTAGACCAATATTTTTTCCATCTTAGTATTCATGTGGATCTTCTGATCTTCTGAGAAGCTTATTTAAAAACTAGATTCTCAAGATCCACCCTCAAACATCTTGAGTCAGTAGGTCTAAAATGAGACCAGGGTATTCATTTTAACAAGCACCATAGTAATCCTGATATAAGCAGCCAGAGATTTCAATTTTAACCAATACCTCTATGACAGCAACAACTTAATAATTCTAAGTTCATTGTATTGATTTCAACTTGTTTTCATCTCAACCAGTTGAAAGGCAAATCGAAATATATATGTATATCTTAATACAGAAACACATACACACAATCTTCTGGGACAATTAAAGAAAATCTTGTTGAAAAATCTTCATTATCTGTTGGATGCCCCCAAAG